GGTTTAGATGATGCCTCATGGTGTAGGTGCTTCGCGGCAACGTTGAAAGGGATTGCTCAACGTTGGTTTGGTAACTTACCTGCCGGATGTATCAATAACTTTAGAACGTTGGCATACTGGTTCACATCCAATTTCTCTATAAATATCCCTGCTAAGAAAATAGGCCTTGATCTGGGGGCAATACAGCAGGGAGATAAGGAAGGGCTCCGATCATATGTCACGCGGTTTAACCTGATGAGGATCCAAATCCAGGGGTTATCTGATGAGGTTGCCTATACTGATTTCTGTAAAGGCCTAAAAGACGGGCCAACTTTTAAGTTTGACCTGGTTAGAAAGAGAGTCTCTACTCTTCACGAGGCACTAATGAAGGCGGAGGCTTATATCCAAGCAGTAGAACTCTGCGCCATTAAACTCCCAACGGATTACAAAAGATCCGATAAAAGAGAGAGTCGGCCTACCCAGCCGGCCAAAAGGGAAGAAAAGAAGCGGATTGAGGTCTGGGCGGCACAGCCACCCGGACAACAATTCCAAAAGAGAAAGAGGTCGGATTCGTATGTTCCAAAGTACGAATTCACCAAGGATTGCGCATCCATTCTCAAGGAAGTTAAAAACCGGTTGAATCTTGGAAAACCGGCACCAATGAAGAGTTCCGTGAGCAGCCGGGATAAGATCAAATATTGCCTGTTTCATGAAGAAATAGGCCATGATACTGAGGGCTGTTTTAGCCTTAGGCGGCTCTTTGACCGTCTCGCTGATGAGGGTGCTCTAAAAACCTATCTATCTGATACGGATGAGGATACGTTCAAAGACACCGGCAAATCAATATGATACGGATGAGGATACCATCCTAACCATAGCCGGTGGATTTGAGGGCGGCGGGCCTACTATCCGGGGCACTAAGGATAACATTAGGAAGCTGGTCAATTCAGTGGATGAGGGCCAGTCGCCTACTAATTCATTCCCGGAGGTCCATATCTCCGAAAAAGATAGAGGAGAGGTCAGGCGGCCCCACGATGACCCAATAGTCATCGAATGTAATATCGCCAATTAACGAGTTGGCCGGATCTTAATTGATACCGGGAGCTCATCCGATCTCATAAGCTACCGGTGCTTGGAAAAACTCAAATATAAGCCAAGTAGCATGTATCCGGCCCCATATCCTCTTGTTGGTTTTGGGGGAGGAGTAGTACATCCGGTGGGCATGGTTGACCTACCCATCCGGTTTGGAGAGAAGGGGGAGGCCCGGAACATGGTCGTCAAATTTCTTGTTGTAGGGGAACTGACGGCCTACCACCTGATCATTGGCCGCCCAACCCTTAACATTTCAAAGGCTGTGATCATCCCGTCTCTAATGTTGATTAAATTTGAGAGGGATGATGGCACAGTCGGCTCCTTAAGTGGGAACTAGAAGACGGAGAGAGAGTGTTACCTCTCGGACGTCAAACCCACATTGGTCACAGACGGTCAAGACAAAGAAGTTGTTGAACTTCACGAGTGTGATCAAGAATTACCGGCTACTAAGGCAGCCGATAAAAAGACAAAGGCGGACCAGCTACTGGCCCCTCGTCAAAGAGAAGCAATAGCAATCACTGTCAGGGGAAATCATTGACATTATCCTAGAAGACAGCCGGCCAGATAGAACCGTCAAAGTTGGGACGGTTGCATTTGACAACTTAGGAATCAATCTGCTTCGATTGCTGAGAGAATTAAAAGATGTGTTTGCCTTTGAAGTAGAAGAAATGTCGGGAGTGTGTCCGGACCTTGCTGTTCATAAACTCGCCGTGGACCCTAAGAAAAAGCCGGTCAGGCAGAAGAAAAGGAACCATGGCGAGGAAAGGTCTCAGGCGGCAGCAGCTGAGGTCAAGAAACTCTTAGATGCCGGGTTCATTCGGCAATGCTTCTACCCGGATTGAGTAGCCAATGTTGTCCTTGTGAAAAAGCCGAATGGTACCTGGCGGATGTGTGTAGATTACACGGACTTACACAAAGCTTGTCCGAAAGATAGTTAACCGCTTCCAAAGATCGACCACCTGGTCGACTCTACAGCCGGTCATGCTCTGATGAGTTTTATGGATGCCTACTCCGGCTTCCATCAGATACCCTTGTGGAAGAAAGATCAAGAAAATACGGCTTTCGTCAAAGATCAAGGGTTATATTATTACACGGTGATGCCGTTTGGGTTGAAGAATGCGCCTGCTACCTTCCAACGAATGATAAACTCGGTCTTTTATGATCAGATTGGGAGAAATGTTGAGGCATATATTGATGACATGATAGTCAAGTCCAAGTGGCAGGCGGATCATCTAGCAGACCTCCGAGAAACCTTCACCACCCTCAGGCGGCATAAAGTCATGCTTAACCCAAAAAAGTGCGTCTTTGGTGTTAAGTCTGGGAAGTTTCTCGGATTTTAGATTGACCAGAGGGGCATAGAGGCGAATCCGGCCAAAGTACAGGCGGTGATTGACATGCAGTCACCTCGTACCGTTAGGGAGGATCAAAAGCTTACCGGTTGCCTGGCGGCATTGGGGAGATTCCTCAGCCGGTCAGGTGACAAGTGGCTCTACTTTTTTCAAGCAATCAAAAAGAGGTCAAGATTTGAATGGGGTGAAGAGGCTGAGGCGGCATTTTAGAGGCTAAAACAACACTTGCATTGTTTTCCAAGATTAGTGAGTCCCCTACCCCAGGAGGCACTTTATATTTACTTAGCCGTCTCAGATCATTCCCTAAGTGTCGTTCTCCTTGCTGAGAGAGACGACAACCAGCTCCCGGTCTACTTCATAAGCCATGTCCTCCGGAACGCTGAACTTCGCTATCCCATGATTGAATAATTTGGTCTAGCCTTGTACAAAGCAGTCAAGCAGGAATATTAAATGGGCCGTAGAGATTCAAAGCCTGGAAATCACTTTCCTGGCTCATCTGGTGACCATCTATACTGATCAGCCGCTCAAACAGCCTATGACCACTTTAGAGTCATCCGACAGAATGATTAAATGGGCCGTAGAGATTCAAAGCCTGGAAATCACTTTCGAACCTAGGCGGGAAGTGAAGGGTCAGGCGTTTTCCGACTTCATTGTTGAAATGACAAGGCCGGTACAGCCGGATAATACTAATCAAGTTTGGAAAGTGTACGTAGACGGGAGCTCTACTATGAACGGTTGTGGGGCAGGCGTAATTTGTCATTCCCCAGAAGGGGACAAATACAAGTATGCTCTACGATTCAAGTTTCAAGCTTCAAATAATGAAGTAGAGTACGAGGCCCTGCTAGCCGGTATCTGCATGTGTAAGGCAGCCGGGGAAAGGAGGGTGAATGCCTGTTCTGATTCTCAACTCATCGTTAGCCAATACCATGGTGACTATGAAGCCACCCATCCGGTCATGATTAAGTATCTTCAGGTGGTTAAGGAAGAAGCCGGGCCATTTGACGAAATTAATTTAAGTCAAGTTCCCAGGTCTGAGAATAATCAGGCGGATGCATAATCTAAACTGGCGTCATTCGCCACTTGTGATACGCCTAAGTTAGTCTTCTGGGAAGTCATGAAAAAGAAAAACATTGAGCATGATCACATTGGAATTCTGGATCGAAGCGCTACTTGGATGGATCCCATCCGAGACTACTTGGTAGACGGCACTTTGCCTGGTGTCTCTTCAGAAGCTGCTGCTCTCAAGAGACGAGCATTAAGTTTTGTCATGCATAAGGGTGAACTCTTCCGAAAGGGTTACCTACAGCCGTTATTCAAGTGTGTAACCCCAGAAAGGGGAAAGGAAGTGCTAGAAGACCTTCATGACGGCTTCTGTGGATCACACATAGGCGGCAAGATTCTTGCAAAGAAAACCAGGCGGCAAGGATACTTTTGGCAAACCCTTGAGGCAGATGCACTCAATTTGGTAAAGAGATGTGACAAATGTCAGAGGTTTGGCCGGCTAATCCGTCAGCCGGCTACCGACCTAACGACCATCTACAGCCCTATTCCGTTTGCCAAATGGGGCATGGATATTTTGGGGCCATACACACCTTCCCCAGGCGGCAGAAGATACATTTTAGTAGCCTTTGATTACTTCACAAAGTGGGTTGAGGCAGAAGCGGTAGAGGGCATCAAAACTAAGTATGTCATCTCCTTCATTTGGAAAAATGTCATCACCCGGTTCGGTGTTCCTATGTCAATGGTCTTTGATAATGGTCCGCAATTCGAAACGCCTGTCCTCAAAACTTTGTTGCAAGACCAAGGAATTTCACATTATTTTGCATCCGTAGGCCGTCCCCAGGAAAACGGTCAAGTAGAAGCTTTTAACAAGCTCATCTTAGGCGGAATCAAGAAAAAGATTGAAAAAGCAGGCGGTCTTTGGGCAGAGGAGTTGACCCATGTTCTTTGGTCTATCAGAACGACTGAGAAGGGGTCAACCGGTGAAACCCCATTTCTTATGGCATACGGCACAGAGGTGGTGCTTCCCATTGAATTGTATGAACCAACACTTCGAATCATGCTATATGACGAAGACGCAAATTGGGAGGCCATGCGTCTGGCTTTAGATTCTCTTCCTGAAAAAGGGGCAATGCCGCCTTACTTCACGAGATCTACCGTCTGAGAATGAAGAGAGCTTACAATAAAAGGGTGTGCAAAAGACCCCTTAAAGTAGGAGATTTTGTACTGCGTAAGCTTGAAACACCGGTAGGGCGAATGAGCAAGGGAAGTTAACTCCCAATGGAGAAGGACCCTACCAGGTTTTTGAAGAAGTTAGAAATGGCACTTACCGCCTGGAAACACAAGACGGAATGCAGTTTCCTCGTACCTGGAACGTAGATAACTTGAAAAAGTACTACTTCTAAGGAATTTGTAATTTTTGTAAATAGTATTGAAATGTGAAAGTATATAATTTCCATTCATCCAAATTGTATTAGCACCTGTCTAGTGCAAAAACACAGACGGAAGAACACTTATTAAAAATCACTGCTCCAAAAAGAGCAGTCATCTGGCGACACCCATCCGGGTGTAATCGTCGAAGAGGACAGCTCCCTTCCGGGTGGTACATTGTCCTGGCGGTCATAAAACTCTAACGGCATTACTGACACATCATTGTAAGTAACAAACAACCGTTTGAAATGATCCATTACATCTAGGATTCAGCCGGCATAGACTCAAGAATGGTCCATGCGGCAAAATCAAAATCCTAGTAAAAACACCAACCGGTTTTTGCAGCAAAGCATTGCACACGGTTAGGTATTCCGGATACACACATTTAAAAGAATGATGTTACTCCAAGTATAATATGGGTTAGGACAACCGGGCCTTATCCAAAGGATACCCAGACGGTTATACCACCCATCCGGTTGCCTATGAAACGGTTGCTTGTTTACCAGTGAAGTAAACAAACAACCATTTCAGGGGCATTTTTATTGTACCAGCCGGTATATTGTAGATCAATGATCATTACCTATCCGGTTGCCTCTGAAACTGGCTGCCTATGAAACGGCTGCTTGTTTATCGTTGGTGTAAATTATTCAGCCATTTCGGGGGTTTTTTAATTATATTAGCCGGTATATTAAGACATCTAAGTTTATTATCCCATCCGGCTGAAAATCGAACGGCTGCTCGTTTACTGTTGATAAATAAACAACCATTCTATTTGAGTTTTTGTTGTATTAGCCGATATGAGATAGATGAATAGTTTGATACCTTATCCGGCAGAAAATAGGACGGTTGCTTGTTTACCGTTGGAATAAACAAACAGACACTCTATTTGCGTTCGGTTGTATCATCCGGAATGAAAACAGACAAATACTTGTAATACTTGTAAAAATAGTGCAAAAAATACTTAATGGTGCAAGTATATGTAGAAAGCAAAACCGACTGAGTCGGGTAAATAGATTAGAATTAATAAATGTTAACCGGACCCTTGTCCGAGGAAAAGTACATTGATGCACACGACACGTAGGCCGGTAAAAGAAGTTAAAAAAAATAAAAAATTTCATTGCTGCTGCTGCTGCTGCTGTTGCTCTTGTTGTTGCTGCTCCTGCACTTGCTCCCAAGCCGACTCTTGAGTGTGCGCCTGCTGCTCACCCTCTTGCTGCTCTTCTTCGACCAAATCGGCCCACTCATCGAAGGAAGCAGGCGGGTCCAGGCCAAGGACCTTGGCATCATATACCTCTGAGGTATACTCATACCTAAGGTCGAAGAATTCGTAGTCATAGTCCGGGTGTTTGAGCCCCCAGGCAAGCTTCATGCGCTCCTCATTGTCGGTCTCGTTCTCAGCAATCAGGCGGCGTTGTTCTTTTTCAAGCTCTTCTTTATGAGCCGCCTGACTAGAAGCAAGTTCATTTTTGAGCCGGCTGTTGTCAGAGCGAAGGTCGGCGTTTTCCTTGTCAGCTCCTTCCAAAGCCTTGAGATCGGCTTGGAGATTTTTGACCTTCAGATCTAGCTCATCCACTCTCGCCTTTTCCGCCTCAGCAGCCTCAATAGTTTTCTTCGGCAATTCCTCCTGTTCCAACTCTCGCCGTTTAGTTTCCATGTCATATCTAATGGCATTATATTGGGAAACATCAATGAGCTCGGATGCCCGTCTCTGGGCATCCCTTACCTCCTCTTGCTTCTTGCGCAAGGGGACTTGAAGACCGTCAACTCTCAGCATCACCTGTGATATCAGCCGGTAGAGGAATGTTATAATTATATTGTAAAAAACAACTAAAGCGGCAAACAAAGAAAGTACAAGAAGGTGATGCATCCGGTCAATGTTGATTGTATGCACAGCCGGCACAGCCTCTTTCTCGGCTGCTAGAAGAATCCATGGATTGGCAAGCTTGGGTCTTTACTCACATAGGCCCAAGCGGCCAGGGGGGATCAAAGGCAAAAGTAATACCTTTGTCGGACTGTGGGGTAGTATCACCCCCAGCCGCGTTTGAGCCAGTACCCGTTTGAGTCTGGCCAGCCGGAGTCTCCGGCTCCTTTAAACCCTCATCCACCACTTCTATGGTAGGAACAATTCCACTAAGGCTCTTGCCTGCAGTGGTGGGCCTGCCTCCTGCAGGCGGTTTTGGAATAGATTTAGCCGGCGAAGGAACCGACATCTTTAGTGCCTTTGCAGTAGGCAGAGGAATGTCCCCCGCCGGTCTCTTGACCATCTTAGACAAGGAGCGAGGAACGACTTTGTTCCCGGCCTGCAAATATACAAAACCAACTGGTTAATGTCAACACAGCATACAAATGCTATAACCGGTGAAGTAGATGAAATAAATGTTACCCCGCCGTCTTTAGCCGCCAGGTGCGACTTTTTCTTCTCAATTTGCTCCTTCCGGAGCAGAGCGGCTTAGGTAGCTGGTGTCTTTTCTTTGGGTAGCTTCTCCATCGCTACTTCTGCAAAAACAAAAGAAGAATGGTTAAGATGCAGTATAAAGTGCCAATGTCAAGAGGCAAAGGCCAGTGAATAATAAAAACCTACTCTTAGGGAACATGGTGCTAAGGTTACAGGCGGAGAGAAACGCCTCATCCTTGAACCAGTTCTGGTGGGGCACCCAGAATTGAGGAACTATTATCTCGCTTCCATCATCCAGGCGGAGGGTTGTCTTTTTGAAGAGACCCTTCTCCATGATTTGGTCCCATGCCTCGCTTAGCACTCTAGGCAGAGTACACTTCCTACCAAGCAAAGCTGGATATTTATAGTATCTACGCAGCCGGCGATTAAGTTGAGGAGATGGTGAAGAGACGGCATAAAATTTTCTCTTCCACCTACTCCATTTGGATGGTTTGTCCAACGTCATCATATATTCCGGGTGTGTGGTTAGAGTATACCATGCATTCCACCCACCCGGCGCCCTGCTGAGATAATGCATGTGTGCAAAGGCTTCCCAGCTTGGTTTGACCTCTTGCATCTCGTAGGCGGCAATGTATCCAAGAATGTTGACCCATGAGTTGGGGTCAATTGCCATACACCCAAGTCATACCCCCTTAGTATGACTTTTATGCAGTGATGAAGGGGGAACCGGAGGCCGGCTGTGAATGCCGCCTCGTAGCAGCCGAAGTAGTTGTCGGCATTGTCCAAATTGTCGGTCCAAACGACGCTTGCCTCTACAGGCGGTACAACCACTTCCCAGTCCTCCCATACCGGCTTCTTCTCCAAGAAAGCAAGTAGTGTTGCGTTTAGAGTAACCACATCCCTGGCGGACATGGTTATGTCGGTAGGGTCGCCTGCAGCTGGCCACTTATAGGCTTCCTCATCAATACGGGCAGCCATTCCAGGAGACTCCTCATCAGAGCCGGACCCCTCGTCATCTGATCCTTCGCCGGATTCCTCGGCATTAGAACCAGAACTGCCCAATATGCTATCACCCGGTGTGCTAGGTTCACCCGGGGAGTCATGCGGGGTAATCTCATTTGGAACCCCCTCAGATGGTTCCTCCATCTGATCTTCATTTAAAGGGCCAACCGGCTCAACGACTGCTTCATCGGACTTGTAATCAGGATCTACTACTGTCCATCTAGTCCGGGCCATTCTGTCCTGCACATGAACAGAAACGGTCGGATTCGAAGTAGGTGAAGGTTGTCCCAAGCACCCCCAAACGGCAGTCTCAGTCCTAGACTCAACCATCCCCGGTGACCGGCTGACCACTGTCGTAGGCTGTGCCGTGTTTATATTGGTGGAGTCCATGTCCTAACTCTATATGCACAGTCGGAAAATAAAGGGAAAAGAATTACTAAGGATACAGACGGTACCTTAGAATATGAAGCTTGGTATGTGGAAATGGGCTTGAAGTCACCTCAGGCGGAGAACTCCACGAATGTGTTAAAAGCTGAAAAGACAAAAGCACAAGTTAGCCGGTTATCCATAAACTCATTCAAAGATACCACAGACGGAGTTATCTGCCTGTGGTAGCTAGACGACCGACTAAACAAATGTGCGAAGTTCATCCCAAGATATCCCAGATGGTATTCAGTGGGTGGGTTCAAAAGGACCCCATGCGGTGCAACACCGGATGGGAAGTTATGATTCAAGAAAGCAAGTTGCTCTCAAAAAACCCCATGCGGAGTAATAGACCGGTTGGGGGGTCATGACACATTTGTAAAAGCTAGCTAGATTAAATTGTAAAGTTCACTCCATGATACCCCAGACGGTATCAAGTGAATTGGGTCAGAAGTACCCCAGCCGGTGTAAGACCGGATGGGGGCTATGAAAAGCATTTGTAAAAAAAAAAAAGCACCCCAACTGGTATAGGTACCGGCTGTAGGCGCTGTAAAGAATATTGAGGTCATTCAAAGATACCCCAGACGGTTAAATACCGGATAGGGATATAGTAGGACCAGCTCTAAAGGAGCTTGTTCAAGAAGGCCCCAGACGATGAAACACCGGATGAGGGTGCATTGGATGCAAATAAAAAAAAAAAAAACTACTAAGGCGGATGCTCCGGCTGAGGTAGTTTAGTCACTAAAAGGTCATGAAAAGCCAAGGATGATGACCCAAACGGTATTAAACCAGCTGGGGGTTTGAAATCATTTCTTGACAGGCTCAGAAGTACCCCAGGCGGTGTATCACCGGATGGGGGTGCTTTGAATGCCTAGTTATTTAAAAGGATAGAGAATTCTATTTGGGAATGGGTCAGAGACCTCCCAGGCGGTGTTAATCCGGATGGGGGTGTTTTGAATGCATAATTCTTAAAGGTTGAAGACCCCCAGACGGAGCTATGCCGGCTGAGGGAGATAATTTAGTACTAGGATATGGGTTAAAGACCCCCCAGGAGGCATGCAACTCGGATGAGGTAAAACATTCAAAGTCCTCGATAACAGAAGTTAAAAGTAAAAAGAAAGGGATAGCCGGTACCTTGCTGGAATTGAGAGAAGTACACTCAACCGGAAGCCGGATGTCTAAGTTTCTGAAAAGCCGGATGCAAGAAAATCTTGAAAGTAGCAGCCGATATTAGAGCTCTCAGAAATTTTTTGAAAAATATGTAAAGTATGGAGGAGAGAGAGAGAGTCTCTCATTTATAGAAGAGGAGCAGAAGGCGAAACGGTGCTTTCTGCCCTAAAAACTTGAAATTTGAAAAAAGGAGGGAAGAAGACGAACTGTCTCCTCCCATGCGTCTGACACTTGTCACAGGCGACACGTGGACATGCCACGTCACACATGTGAGGGGCAGATGTTTAGGGTAAAAATACCCCTAAGACACGTGGCCCTATAACGGCTTGCCACGTGTCAAGTTCGCAACGGTCAGCAAAGGCCCAATCCCTTTGCGACACGTGTCATTGTACCCTAATTGAGGTACAACTCACCTTTACTATAAATAGTACGGGCATACCTCATATATGGGGATCGAAAAAATACTCCAACAACCAACCAAACACAAAACCCATTGAAAACGCTCTCCAATCGAGAAGCATTTATTGTTCTTATTTCCTCTTCAGAAAGATTCTAACTTAATCTTCGGAGGCGGAACTCCCACCCCCCAGCCGGAGTCTCCGTTATTTGTGCAGGTACAGGCAAAGGAAGGAGCATACTAGGAAATTGTAACTCTTCCAAAACTCACCTTCTGCAATAGCCATTAATCAAAACCAAAACTTTATTATACTTCATTAACCTTATCACTTCCCATACTTAAAAATCTCAAAACCTTTATGTTCTCAACATGTTCTTCAATCAAGCTGCAATCTCCAATTAAATCATATAAAATTGAATCTCCCAAACTACATTTCTTAACATGGCATCAAAATCAAACCAACCAAAACATACAAACAATCAACAAAGCTTAACCCGAATCCAATCATACACTATCAAGAACAACAATCCAAAATCACCCTTTAAACAACCCCTAAACTCAATAAACAAGTCTTAAGCATAACTTAAACAACCAGAAGATGAGAAGTATAAAACCATATTATCTCAAATGATAATCACAATTTGAAAAAGCACCACAATAAAACCCTCAAAAAAGTGAAATTTCAGGAAACAAAAATGTGAAGAAGAAAAAAAATCCAGAAATAAATACCAATTACTGAACCAGAAGAACTTAAAGTAATTAAAACATGAAAATATGAAATCAAATCACCAGAAACTTACAAATAAATTCAAAAAAAAAATTTGACCGAGAAAATGGTACCTCGGCAGCGAGATACTCAAGGACAGCAGAAAGATAGACAGGAGAACTAAGCCAACTCTCTGAGCATAACGACTCTTCTTCAGGAAGCGAGCAATACGACCAACAGGAAACTGAAGGCCAGCCTTGGAGGACCGAGAAACCGACTTAACACCGCTCTTTCGCTGGCCCCTTCCACCGGTGCTCTTACCAGTGGCGCCATCTTTGCCGGCCATTTTTGCTGATTGATTTTGGAGAAGGAATTATCCAACTTCGAAAAACCCTAAATTGAGTATATAGTGATAAATCTAACAAGATGAATGCTAAATTAGGTCAATAATTACAGAAAAAAGAAGATCTAACTTTTGAGACTGCTTCAGTGGAGGAGAGAAAGCTTTGAAGCCCCTTCAATGGAGATTTTCGAGTACGCTTCAATGGAGAAAAAAAAGAGGAAACATGTTTGTGTAATTGTGTTCTGGCCTTCTGGTTTCTGGGAGAAGAGAGACTGAGAGAGAGGAATGAGCGTGAGTCCGTGAAAAATAGATCTAATTTTTTATTTTTCAAAATCAATCTTCTATGTGGGCCCTTTGACACATTAGAGACCTGTTATCTCTAATATCAAATCTCTTATGTCAAAGAGACCTGTTGTATTAGCCAACAGGTCTTTTATCATAGGTCTCTTTGACCATTTTTGTAGTACTGATTTACACTCAAGATTACTCCGAGGGAGAAAGGATTTAAGGGTACAAATAGGCACCACAAGCAAAGAAACCTAACTAGAGATGTCGTAAGGATTGCAAACAACTTTATCCAGAGCGCTCTTCAAAACCTGAGAAAACCCTAGATAACACTTGGGAGGAATGGACATCACAGTGCGTAATCTACCCCTTAGAAAATAATCGATCAAGGAGAGCCACATCAAAATTACAAGGGTGGTCAAGCACCGGACCATCAACATGTCCAACAATTGCAAGCGAAGAGGGAACCTGTGGCTTAGCAAGATCATACAACACATATCGAGCAACACCATCACCTACATAAGGAGGTGGCACAAAATTTGAACCACTATAATGACGACACTTAGAATGAACAGTATGTGTTTTGAAACAAACACCACATAACCCATATACCCATATGCGAAAAGGTAGCCTTTGCCTCATTGAAAACAACCAATTTAGTAAAAAGAGAATGCCGTGTTATAACTATTATTATTATTATTATTATTATTATTATTATTATTATAAATAATTACACAAACCTACAAAGTCAACCAAATTACAAGAAATTAGTGGGGAGATGAGATATAATCTAGGCCCCCACCCCTCTAGCTATAGCGAACCCGATCCTGTTGAAGATGTGAGCAACTGCACGAGCACCAATATCTTGAGTCCTAGCGAACGTTTGAACCCGCTTCAGCAATGCAATAACATCCTTCTATAATTTCCCCAATGAAGAAAAGGAGAAAGGAAGAAAACCATAGCCAATAGCCCTGCAACGCGCCCCCATACTTGTCCCACTTCTATTGAGCAGCAACCGACACCACATAACCAAGGACGAAGTCAGACAACCCAGATTGTGTTAAAGGAGAAGACCCCGTCAAGTTAACACACACATTAAGGCCTCTGTCCCAAGAATAAAGTAACACATCCGCAGGTCGCAGAGCCCTATCGTTCCTTCAGTCAAACCAACATTAACCGCCTTTCTTGCAGAAATCCCAGACCGAAAACAAATATCAACAAGGGTATCGCGAACAACATTATGCCGATGTTTAATACCCACCATCCCAGCACAGGACACTACTTGATCCCCAAAAATATTCCCATCGAAAACCCTTAAGCAAGTAGAGCATGGTGTCGAAATGGAGAACAAAGGAACACCCAATTGGTAGCAAAGAACAGAAGGGTAAGCCTTACCGTTCATAGTTTGATCCAACCCCGAAAATAGGACCGCTCGCGACTAGGCAGAATTGTGATCTCTCTGCTCGGACTTCCATAAGGCAACTTGACGTGGAGATAGGGAGAATGTGGATGTTGTAGATGTAGTAATTTTCGGGAAATATATATCTGCCAATTTCTTCATGAGTTTGGGGGCAGCGATCTCACTAGGGTTACTCAAAAGGTTAGTCTCCACAGTCCTATTAAAAAGACTAAGAGCATCATCGAAGGCCAGACTCGGACCCACAATACCAGAATTGCGAAGAAGCGTAACCCGAAGACCAGTAGACTGAAACCGTGACGCAAGAAAAACATAGTGCCGAACATCATCCACAGAATAAACACCTAGACCACCGTAAGCGAAAGGTAAGGTGGCAAGTCAACATTGCCAATCACCAAAACCAGGCCCCGAAGCAGTTACAATGCGCTCCAAAGAAGCTCGCAGGGCCAAATCAAAAGAAATTTGGGCCGCTTCAAAAAGACGAGGGGGACAAGTGCGCATAGCAAAGTAGTGTTTTGAAACCCTAGTACACGCACGAAGTAGTAACAACTCACATTGGGGATCATCAAGCTTAGAAACATCATCCATTAGCACAATAGTCTTCGACACTCTCTGCGAAACAAGCTCACCACAGAAAGAGGAATCCGCACTGACAGGACCACAAAGCAACTTAACACCATGTACAGGACGAGCAATATCCGGAGGAAAGACACCGACCAGACGGCTACGTGGGTTCTTCGTGGGCCAGAAAACTTCCCTTTTCTTAACGTTTACATGGAGGCCGAGACGAGGTTCCCCCTACCAAAATCAACTCCATAACCTTTCCTACCACCAAGGTGTCACCAATAATAGTGTCGTCATCCAAATACCAATCCTGCAAACATAAGTCGAAAGAATCCCTGATTCGGCAAACCTACGGATGGAGCACAAAGCAAAAAGCAAAGGGCCAAGAGGATCACCTTGCTGCACTCCTTGACATGACCTTAAGGTATGCTCCCATAAAACAGTCTGGCTGGAGAAGAGCAACAGAATTCAACCTAACGCGAGAGAGTTGGACAATGGAGACGGACCTCACGCAGTAAAGCCATACGATAAACCAAATTAAAGGCATTCTGGAAATCCACCAGCAAAATAGAGAGTCCCACATCACCACCACGAGCCTCAACCAAACAATTAACAGCATGAAGAATAGCCTCACCACCCGCCGGCACACCAACACCAAACTGAAGGCCTCCTAAATAGCTTCCTAGTCGTTGACCAATTAAAGCAGCCCCAACCTTTGAAACCAGACGCCTCCAAATGGTACCCACAACAATAGGTCGAATACCACCACTAGGCTTAACAAGTCGTGTGAGAGGAGCACTAGCAATGTATTCTCCTAACTCAGCAGGACATATCCTAGCGAGAAAGAGATTAACCACCTGCGTAATAGAGTCTACCAACTCATTCGAAATAGAAACTGCAGCACCACTCAAGCAATCCATAAGGTGTTGAGCACGCAAGCCGTCTTTATCGCATGACGTAACACGCGGAAAACCCTTAATCTGATCCAAAACAACAGCAGGTGTAGCAATAAGGGGCGATCAACGGGGATATCCGGTGAGATAGGAGCCGAAAAGGAAGGGTGCTTATCTTATAAATCAGCAAGAGTAGCATCATTGTAAGGGGCAAGGCCGAGACGAGGTCCCTCAACCAAAATCGACTCCATAACCTTTCCAACCACCAAGGTGTCACCAATAATAGTGTCGTCATTCAAATACCAAGCATGCAAACATAAGTCAGAAGAATTCCTGATTCGGCATACCAACATGCGTGACTATTTGCCTACTTGTGAATTTTGATGTGTTTTTTCCAACTAACCGTTACATGTTCGTGTTTTAATTATGTGAATATACTAAATTATTATGTTCAAGTCTTGGGATCAAAATACTAAGTCCATGTCCACTTTCACAATAGTCCACTTTTGAGTCTTCTTTTCCATCCATTTGGTCTTTATGCGTGTTCGACAAAATTTCGCGTCTTGGTCTACATTTATATCATGAGTCCAAATAACTCACTTAATCACTCATGAGTCAAGTCGTCCACGCACCTTATTTGAGTTGAGTTGTCGCACACAACGTGTTTGAGTCAAGTCGCACACACTTTTGTTTGAGTTGAGTCATGCACATTGTCTTTTAAGATCGTACTAGGATCATGCATGGTTGTCATTCCATCATCTTAAGAAGAAGTGGAGTGTATCTTCTCTTATTGTGACTATTTTAAAATATTTCTTTTCATCTCCCTTTCATTCTATATTTGAGTCGAGTATCAAGTCGTTGTTGAGTAAGTTGACACATTACCACAACACTTGGTCAAGAATCTTGTAAATTGGTGAAGAGGTTCTGCACCACCACACGAGGCGAGCTTAAGATTCAAGATTTCAAGTCTTTTCTTTCTTTTGTTTTAACCCTTTTCCCCGTAATGAGTCTAGCATAGGTCCCGTTTTGTCCTTTCATTATGTGTCTCTTTTACACTCTGTATATTATATTAGCCTCCATTATTCCATAAAATGAGCATTTTTATATGATCATTTCATTTTCGCACAAAAAAAAAAAGTCGATGTCGAACTAAGCGCAAGGTATACCAACGATTAGAGGCAACCTTTGTAGCCATATCATTTTCCTTAACCATTCAAATACATGTCATCTTTTTATTCTTAGCAACTTTGAGCCTCATCTAATGGTTGACCTTTTATTTTTTCAACCCACATCAGCCTAACGTTGGGATGGGAAGGGATGGAGTCTGTGTAATGTACAAAATTAAAGTAATAGTAATTAAAATAATAACAATGTAAAAGGGAAAGTGTTCCAATATCTTTGATATGAACACATCTCGAATTGCGTCTCCCATCGAGTGCTTGGTACCGTGCCTGAGAAACGTGAATGCTAAGTGAGTGATGGACCGCATGATCGGAATTGCTCACATTGATAAAATTGCAATGAAAAAGCAAAATAAACAGAATTGAAAAAATGATAAATAAAGCTTACAAAGTTCAAAAGCCAAAAGTTCAAAATTCAAAACATACAATTGCACATCTCGGGGGGCTTATCAGAGTCTTGAGCCTTTTATCCTTTCTTCTTTAACCTTAGCCCAACCAAAGTTATAACCCTTAAGACCTCTTGTGTGAGGTTCGGCTAGAGCTACGTTCGGCCTAATTCCTAATGATTACGTAGGTAACCTGAAATCGAGGTGCGACCATAATCATAATAATAATAATGATAATCATTGCATGCATGATCATATTATAGGAATTTCAATGTTCATCCCTTCCATTTAAAGCTAGACTTTGGGGCTTGAACCCTCATTATTAGCCTACCTAGCCGAAAGAGTCAATATCTTTTGACTCTTCTTAAGTCAATTATTCTATAGCCATAGCCTTTGCAGCCTAACCTTAGTCTCACTTTCACACACATCACACATACATACATAGCCAAATCATTCTTCCTTTTATGAACCTTTTTTCATGAAATCTTGATTCAGCATTAAGCATGCCTCATTGTCTTCCAATTCAGTCATCAACATGATCATCACTCATCAATCACATATGTGAGGAGGGTGTGCCCGTCGTAGGGGATCCTTCTCCTCTATGCCCATGACCCTTTAAAAGCCTAGGACTTTACACTTTTTAGGGTGTGTTAG